AAGGAGGGGGGGGACCCCAAACAAATTTTCTTTTGGTTTTGTTGGGGAGGGAATTTTGATTGTTCCCCAGTACCGTTGTTGGTGGGGGTTTTTTCCCCCCCCCCCCGGGCTGTGTGGACCCCCCCCCCGCGCGCGCCCAACACTGGCCGGCGCCCCGTGAGTGAGGACTTGTTTGTAGCATCAGCGCCTCGTTATGTTTGTCCATCCGTTGACCCTCGCTTTTATCTCATGCGTATGAGAATGCCGTGTCCGTGCACGCATGCCGTCCGAAAACCCCCAGGTGTTTGGGACTGTTGCTGGGCGTGGAGCAGGCGGTGATGCCGCTGTTCGACTTGTCCGCCTTCGCGCTGTCCATGCTGGTCTTCTCGGGGAGGCGGGACCTCAAGGCCTACGTGGTAAGCCAAGCCGACCGGCCCTTAGCCTTTACCATAGGCTTGATAGCCTCAACAAGAGTCAACTAGGGTGTTTCAAGGGGCAGTTCCGATTGCAGGTTTGATTGCTCTTGTGTGCGGAAAGAGACCGCGCACACACAAAGACGTCTCCTCATTGCTGCATCACCGTTGCCGCCGCCATGATGACGCGGGGCCTCAAGCAAGGCCTACGTGGTAAGCCAAGCCGATCGGGCCTTAACCCTTAGTGGCTTCGGCAGTTCCCATTGCAGTTTTATTTACTTTGTGTGCAGAAAGACCGCAACACCCAAGGAAGGATGTCGTCCCCTGATCGCTGTATCGTTCCTGCCACCGTGATGAGGCGGGGCCTCAAGGCCTACGTAGGAAGCCAAGCGACGGAGCGCTAACCCTGACCATATTTGTGGCTTACGGCAGTTCCGATTGCATTTTCGATTGCTTTTGTGTACATTCAACATAAGGACGTCTCCTCATTGCTGTATCACCCTTGCCGCCGTGACAAGGAAGGACGCCAAGGCCTACGTGGTAAGCCAGACCCGGCCGGGCCTTAACCATTGTGTGGCACTGCTTGCTGCCGCCGCTTCCGCTGCTGCTGGTAATTGCCCCGCCATCTTTATCGTGGCAGGTGGGGGTTGCCGGCGTGTCGTCCTTCATCCTGTGGTTTTCGTGGCAGACCGTGTGGCACCTGAGCTTCAGCTTCGCGCTGCCGCTGGGGCCTCGGCACTGGGAGGGAGGGGCGACGTCGTCGTCTCCACCGCTGTCGTCGTCGTTGTCGCTGCAGCAGGTCTCGGCGTGTTGCGCGGCCCTGTCCTTCGGGGTGTTGCTGGTGCCGGGGATGGTGGCCTTCGGCGTGCGGCAGGTGGCGATAGGCGTCGTTTTCGGGTAAGAGTTTGAAGGGAGTCTAGCAGCAGCAGTAGCAGCAGCAGCAGCAGTAACAGCCGTACCCGTATTCAAAGGCCAACGCACCCCACCGATTCACAAGCACTCGAGTACATCCCTCCCCCCAAGTCTCCGTCCTGTCGAGCACGCGTGGTCAATGGCCGAACAACTACAAGGCATGCAAAATATGAGAGTACACCCCCCGCGGTCTGGTCCACTGACTACGGCCTACGGGGTTTCTACTACGTATTCCCCCCCCTCCTTGCTAGCCTGCACGCCGTGGTCCTGATGCTGCTCGAGATCGTTCTCGTCGGCGCGGAGGCGCGGGACCCCTGGCAGCTGGACGGGCTGTACCCGCTCCCGCTGGTGGCGCTGACGGGTGTTCTGGGAATCTGGATGGCGTTTCGACTCGTGCGGGACCACGGGGTAGACCCCCTGTTCTTGTGGTGAGTGCTCGGGCCAAACGACGACGACGGGATTGTTTTAGATGCAAGGTATTGAGTCGCCATTTTCGAGAAGGAAACGGTCCTTTCTTTGAGGGAATACAGGAGCTACCTATGTTCGAGGATTGAAGCTTGTTCTTCTTGAGAAGGTGTATCACTTTTCAAGAAGGAACGTTTAGTTTCGAGAAGAAATATAAATCTCACCTTTTCGAGGAGAAAATGGCTACCAATGTGTTCGAGATGACAATACGAAATTTCGACAAGAAATGGAGAGTGTTGCCGAGCAGCGATGTTTTCTTGGGTTGTCAACTTGTGCTTGTCGGTGTCCTCTTGGCCTTGTGTTGGTTTTTCTTTGTTTCGTATTGTGGTACAATTGAGTCTGATAGTGTCTGTATTTTGTTCGTTAGCTCAGAGCGCAGCAGTGCTGTGATACTACAGCGCTTGGACGAACGCCGCACCGCTGCCTCGCTTCGCTTCGCTCTCGCCCGGGCTTCACCTGGAACCTTAGCTTCGTCCAGGAGAGCGGCACCCACGATTCATGTAGGGAGAGCCCACAAGGTTCCCTCCCTCCTTCCCTCCCTCCTTCCCTCCCTTCGTAAGTTTCAACCTGACAACTCCCTCTAGGCGTACTCGAATTGAATTATACCTCATGGGATCCCATGTCCTATTTTCTATTTTACCGTACCCCGCGGTCCATGAAGCCTCCGCCCCCCCCCCCCCCCCCCCCCGCTGGTTTTCTTTTCTTTTTTTTTTTCCGGCTAAGGTACCCCGGAACATTTGC